AATGCTCTTGAACATTTCTCATTTGAGATCTGAATTTTTCAATGGCATCATCATATTGCACGCTCGGAGACTTCAGCTGCCTCTAATTAATCCTATGTAAGTATTTTTCTTCTTTTTTTGGTTCCTTTTTTAAAGTCAAACAAAACGATGAGCGTTATCGCTCTTCACAGAATAACGATTGCTGAAAAGTTGATCGAAAACTAGAGGCAAATTTGATATTTCAAAACAATTTGCCGCGTTTTTGTTGTTGGTATCAAAGAAAATGCAAAGAAAAATGATATTCAAAATCATAAAATTAGGACACCAATGGAAACCCGAATAGGAATCAAAACAACACAAAGAAAATATGTACAAAACAAATGTAATCGCATACGGACCTGAATGGCTTGTTGATAATAATTCGGTTCGAGTGTAATGTCACCGAGCATACAATAATACAACGGTTCATTCGGATTTTTACCAATCAATTCCCGTATCAAATGCTCTGCTTTTTCGATCTGACCCAATGATTTGTAGCACTGAATAACATTATCCCATGATTCTTGTTTCTCGTATATTCGAAGTGCTTCCTGAAAAGTGATGTTTCATGAATTCATTCCTTTGGGGTCAACGTTTTTCGTGGTTCCATAAAGCGACATCAGTTATTCATATGAATTATTCGCGTAAGGAAAGAAGAAGTATAAACATTGGCCCAAGAAATCAGAAATACTGCGTTGTGGCATTTAAACTGTGGCCACTGGAATTTCGACGCGAGAAGGAAGCAATTCGATAATTATCACACGAATTTGAAACCGTGACGAAGAATAGAACTGAAAGCGATTAACGCATCAAATTCTGTAATATTGCGCTCAAACGATAATGTTCCCATGCATAAACGCAATTAAATTTATCACTAATTTTGCCGAATGAATAAAACCGGAAGCGATTCAATGAGAACGATCAGAGATCTATTCAAAACAAACGAAATTACCGCTGTACATCCCAACGATCGCAATATTTCCGCATGCAACTGGTGCACTCGCCATGACGGTGATAGACCACTGGCTAGTACAAGTGCATTACGTGACTGTTTCGCATCTGTTGAACTCTGAATGAAAGATGCAACGAATGATGAAATTTATTGGTGAATATGAAACAAAATGTTTTGGAATGATACTGTTATGCTGGAATAAAATAGAATAACGATTAGATAAAACGAATACGTTGGAATGTATTGAACAGAAAGTCGATTCTTGAGAGACGTAAAATTTTTCAGATTCTTTAATCTAGCAGAGTGTATGCTTGTTCCAGCACGAATTCAAGTAATTGAGTACGAACCGAATCGTCAATGGCGTCCATTAGTTTTGCGATGAGTTCAGCTTGTGAACACGCTCTTTCAACGCGTCGTTTGTTACGCTTTTCAATAGCACATCGACGCAACAAAGCACTTGTTTGGATAGCCCAATTACACTTATTTGATAATACCTTCAACGATTTCGATTGAAATATTCTAATGGAAGCATGAGTAATTTCCACAAACAATAAATTCAACACAAAAAACTCATTTCTTTATAAAGTCAATTTGTTTGCCCACAACGCAATCAATCCATTCGTCCANACAAAAAACTCATTTCTTTATAAAGTCAATTTGTTTGCCCACAACGCAATCAATCCATTCGTCCACTATTCACTAAACGCAATATGTGATAGAGAACGCCTCAATAGATTCTTTAACTGTACATTGCCAGCTCTGCAGATTTTTGCTTAAATTGCGAGTGATACAACTCTGAATCTGACTGACTCAATTGTTCGTTAACAATCATTGAGTGAATTGATTCGTTTTGATTCAATTCAAAATCCAAAATCACGCCGAATATCTTTTAAGGCTACCGCGCTCACCTTATCAATGTATGCAGACGCTTTCTCAAATGCAATTGCATCATTATGTTGAGTGCTCATTTCGAAGGCACATCTGGCCAATATGCAAGCCAGCTGCACGAAATCAAGCGCTTTCTCATTATGGCTATCAACACCATCTTCGTCGACAATACTGACACTCTCAAGCAGTGTTTCATCATCTAATCGAATATTTTTTGGCAATTCCAAACTTTCGTCTTTTTTATTCTCTTCTGATATTTTCACTTCATTCGATGAGGATGCCTGCAAATGAGTGAATTTCATCTTAAAATATGGCTTTCTGAAGAAAAAGCAAA